ATACAGCACCATACCCCCCACCCAGGGACCCGCGGGCCACACGGGAGTCGCCCGCGGCCTTGTATTTGACACATGTGCTCTGAAGTCATGGTGATCTAATCAGCACTTTAAACATGAGGTTTGCTCAAACCGAACCTCCCTGAGTCAATAAATGACATCAGCTAAACTTCAAAGTTAAGATAAAAATGATGAAGTCATAAACTCTTTATTTCACAAAAAAACTATTCAGTCATAAAATAAATTAGAATTAAAAGCAGACGTTTACACAAAAAACTAAAACATTTAGTAAAGTAGTAAATAAAAAACCCAAAATGATTCTAACTAAAACACACATTTTTTTAACTACGACGTTTTCATTTTCTTAAATATTCATCAGATATATTTTCAAAAAACTTAAGTAGTATTTAATCAACAACTACACCGTTTGGCTTTTTAGAACATTATTCTGACACCCTTAGTTGTCACATTAGCTCARCAGCAGGGACCAAACAGAAAGTAAAAGCTATAGCTTGAAGTTTTTCTTGAAAAAAAAAGAGTTAAAAAAAATACCATGTGGCTTTCTGGAAACTCAACTTCTCTCTGTGTAGCGTAACATACAGTAACAACATGTGTAACGCACTGTCATGCTGATGACAAACACAGCAGTATTWTTCAGCGTCATGAAACAACTAGTTAGTCAATCAAGTCATTTCCAGTTGTTGCAACGCACGTTTTATGTGTTTATCATCAACTCAACAGACCATGACTGCCTCCTAACCTCGTGACCTCCTTTCACAAAGCCCTCACCAGTCATCCACTGTAGCAACGCCTCAGTGTCTCAACACTGTATGAAGTAAAATCAGTCAGTCATTACAAAGAAACTGGAAGCCAGGATTGAGTGTTTGACTTAAATGCACATTAAAACTGTCCAGAGCAAATAATTATGTTAATGGGGCCAATAGCTGATAAGCTATAGTCCATTTTCCTAAGCAAAAAGGAAACTATTTGCCAAACTTTTGTAAATTATGTGTAAACCCTATGTGCAAATAGGGTTGGGCAAAATCATAYTGTRTGCAATTAATCATCAGAAAAACTTTAWTCGATTATTTTTTGGCACTTGATGATTAATAATATTAATGCCACCAGGCAGACTGACTGGAGATTTCTTCAGTTAGTCCGCACAATGCGCTTTAAAGGGATCCACGATTGGTTGTAACATTAGGCTTTATTTAATAAACATATATTTTAACTGTAAAATAAAGACTGTGAAAATACTGTAGGCCGTTTAGTTTTTATCATTTTTAAACTAAAAGTTTTAAAATATATTACACGGATGGGGCCATTTTATTTTCACACAAAGCATTCTGGGTAAATGATGACGTGGACAGGTCCTCGGTTCGAGGCTGCTAGCGAGCTATATCCACCCTGAAGGTTAATCTTGGACAATATCTGATGATCGACTCTTTTAAATGAAACCAGAGAGCGCTGACAGAGAGGAGAAGGTAGAAATGACTCAGCCTGGAACTGAAAATATGGATGGAGGACAACAGTTGCTAGCGCGACAAACAAGCTAAACTGTTGTCCTCCATCCATATTTTCAGTTCCAGGCTGAGTCATTTCTACCTTCTCCTCTCTGTCAGCGCTCTCTGGTTTCATTTAAAAGAGTCGATCATCAGATATTGTCCAAGATTAACCTTCAGGGTGGATATAGCTCCATACCATACCATACCATACCATACCATACCATACCATACCATACCATACCATACCATACCATACCATACCATACC